CCTTTAGCTGGGGGGGGGCATTGGGGGCACGGGGTGCTGCAAGGCCCCCTCCTCCCCTTCCCTCTGCTCTCTTTTAGCCTCCAGCGCCTATGGGCAATTTTTGGAAGGGGGAAAGTCGCCCCGTCGGAGCCCCTGCAGCAGCCGGCAGGTGAGGAGAGGCGCCAGGCTCCCGTGGAAAGGGCGGGCAGGGAGGGGAGGTGAAACGGGCAGAAGGGCTGGGAACGGCCCCCTCCCCTGCCAGTGCTCAGGCTCTGTGGGGCTCTCCGCAACAGGAGCGCTTTGGGGAGTGGAAGGCCACTTTGGAAGGTTGAAGGAAAGAGGCCTCTCTCTGGTCACTCACCAAGTCCTCTCTCCCCAGCTGCAGCCACCGGCAGGAGGCCCCCCAAGAGGGATGCTGGGGGCTTTGTCGCTGCCTTTTTGAGCCGCCAGCATCAGGTAAACCCCATCGTGAAGCACAGGGGCCTCCTCCCGAGCCCAGGGCAATGACCGCTCCCTCAGCGGGATGGCCCCAAAGCATCTCAGAGAAAGAGACGCCTCGAACAGGGGTGTTTGCAGAACAGGGAACGGGTTTCCCCATCATCCCAGTCCCCTGGGTTACGGAGGCCCCACTGCAGGCCCATGAACCCCGCTTGGGGGGGGGACACATTGGCCTCCAGCCTGCCTCCCTCTGTCAAGGGGCTGGGTCCTCGGAGCGGCCTTCGAGGCACTGCCCAGAAGCCACCAGGGCCGGGCTCCTATTCCCAGCGAGACGGGCCGCTTCTCAGCTGGGAGGGGCCGCTCCTCTCCCGGGCAGCAGGGGCTCCAGGGCTCTCCCAGCCAGGCTCACCGCCTCCCTCTCGCCACTTCCAGGGCCAGAGGCACCACACAGCCTTTTTTAATGCAGTGATTGGAGCCTGCAGGGTCCTGGGGAGGGGAAGGAGCAGGACTCTGCCCTTCCCCAAGGAGGCTGCTGGGCAGCAGATCAAGGAGAGTGAGACTCTCCGTGGCCCCTGGGATGGGGGTGGGTGGGAGATCCCAGGATGAGATCTTTCTTGACTTGCTGTGTAATGGCTTCTTCCAGTCTTGAGCTTATGGCAGGCTAAGATCTCTAGCTGATTCTGCACTTAGATTGCCGTGGAAACTCTTGGGGGAAAGGTAGGGGGGGATCCCATAGAGCCATTCCCAGGACTTGCGTGCCGGTCTCCGGGATGCCAGAGGGCCCAGAGTCCGTGGGAGGGGGGCTGAGGGTGGGAGGAAGGAGGAGACGTGGGGCTAGAGCCACGCTGCCCGAGCCCAAGGAGTGCGGCACTTTGGCGTAGTGGGACAACCGGGTCTGATGCCCCACTCCTCCACTTGCACCTGGCTGGGTGACCCTGGGCGGGCCATAGTTCTGATAAGAGCTGTCCTTGAAAAAGAGCCATTTCTGTCAGAGCTCTCCCAGCCCCACCTCCTACCTCACAGGGTGTCTGTGGTGGGGAGGGGAAGGGAAAGGAGTTTGGAAGCCGCTCTGAGACTCCGAGTGAAGGGCAGGGTATGAATCCAGTCTCTTCTCTTCTTCTTCTTCTCTGTCTTTGGCCCCCCTCCGTCTCTCCCAGGAAATCATGATGGACTCCTTTTTTGCCATCCAGCCCCAATTCATACTGGCAATGAGAGCCGTGGAGGAGCTGAGGTAGGTCTTTGGCTG